ACCCCCTGGCTGGCCAGCCAGCTGGCCCTGATTGGCCCAATCGGCCTAATCGCCGGCCAGGCTGAGGGACTCCCCACCCCCGCCCTCAGTGCACAAATTTGTGCACTAGGCCTCTAGTACATTATAAAGCCAGATGGCCCTCCCTCCTTCACTACTGGATTATGCTGGAAGTGAGACAGGGTATGCAGTGAAATGGCTGTAATTGATATGGGCTACAAGGACTATCAGGGAAATAGTAAGACATATTTGTGGTTTAGAGCCCAAAGATCAGCTCGATCCAACCTGGAGGCTAATTTCACCTTGCAATACATTAGCTCATTGTAATACATTAGCATTCTCAACCACACACCCTTGCAGCCATGATTGGAAGCAGAAAGCCCATATAAGGACACAAATGGCCAACTGTGCTCTTCTGAGAAGTCTCCACTCCTTTCTCAGGAAGGGCCTGAAAATTTCCCCCCTTATTGCATGCCCTACCCCTCGATTAAATGAGTCTCAATAGAAGAAACAAATCCCACTAGGGAGGGGCTGCTCTGACTATGGAGTAGCCTTCTCTCCCTCCCACTCCTTCACTAATAAACTCTCTTTCACTTTAAACTCTATGCTGGCTCGTATTTGAAGTCTTTCCTGTATGAAGTCAAGAACCCACAGTGGGTCATGGACCTTCGGGTCCCTGGAACACCTGCATCAGAAGGAGACCAAGAAGATCTGCCCTGCTTTCTGACCAGCTGGTGGGCCTACCTCCAGACCCACCTCCTCAGCCCCTGCAGGCATCTATCTCTGTCCTGGATCACAGCTAGAACTTGAGTGCCACCAGGCACCTAGAAGCAGACCCACTGTCAATCAGAGTCAGTAAAACAAAGATCACCATGAAAGTCAGCTTTGGACCAGACATGACTGAAAGTGTGTACCACAAGCAGACACATGTGCTCGGGCCTCTGGCTTTCAGGTAGGAGAGAGCTGGTGTGTGGGATGGCAGAGGCTGAGCTGGACTGGGAATCTGCCACTTGCTCTAGGGCCTATCAGAGAAGAGCTTCCCTGTGTGCGGGGCAGCTTCTCTCCTGGGAAGGGGTGGTCACTCCGGGGCAGCTGAGGACAACCCCAGCTTGGCCGCGTCAGCTCCCCACTTATCTACTGGCTGACATTTCCTCTCACTCCCCTCCCATCGGGTTGGCAGGTTTTGATTGCAGTGTTTCAGTGTGTATACACATTCCCTTGGGAATCCTAGAGCTGTAGTAAAGATTCACCATATACAAACACACAGACATGTGCAAAGCAAGAACAGGGCTGATGGAGATGCACAGACAGCGACAGACACGCACACATAGACACACACATGCACCACACTCCATTCTCTACCTCTCTTAGTTACATGGTCCTTACTCCTTCTAGCCCTCTACTCACATGATTGGCTCCCCTGGCAACCAGCCCCCCATCTTTAGGGCTTTCCAAAAATCACCTCATTCACACAAACTCAGTTGAGGTTGAGAAGAAGTTCCTTAGGAATAATAAGACATCAATTCATTCTTTATGGCTCTGAAGGACAAGATACCAAATATTATAACAAAAGATGTTCCCATTGCTTGTCATTTAAGAAATTCCAAAGGTTTTGGGAGCACTGTTCCAGAAATGGGGATGGAGGCCAAATATATACTTCTTATATATGACAATAGCACAATTAGGTGTATTGTACGATATGACTAATGTCAGATCTACAATATTACTGTTTAAGGGATGGTTATAGTAGATTATAGTGGGGCCTTGACTTACGAGTGTCCTGACTAACGAGTTTTTCAAGATATGAGCCGAGCCGTCTCTCGGCCGATTTTTTGCTTTGAGTTGCGAGCTAAAATTCGGGTTACGAGCCAGCTTCAGATACCCGACCGCTGGTTGGTACAGAGAACGCCACAGTGCATGTCACAGTGAACACCACAACATCAGCCCAGCATCACGTGTCTCACTCATTCACTTTAATGATTTGACACACGAGTAATTTGAGTAAGAGCTCGGTCACGGAATGAATTAAACTCGTGAGTCAAGGCCCCACTGTATTTATGTTTAAATAGTGAGTTTATTTAAAGAAAAATACAAAACAAAAAATAGTTCAGGATAGGGCAAAAGTCATGGCAGTAATAAACAGACGACTGGAGTTTGGGATGTTTTCATTATCTGAAGTGTAGTTTTTTTTTAATTACGTAGGTTCAAAGTTGGAAATTAAGAGAAGCAATAAATAATTAGTATCAGTCCCACTCTTTTCCAATTATGGTTCAATGAAGATACCATGGATTCATTCGCTCATTTATTCATTCATCAGACATTTATCAAGGGCCTATTAGGTAAGGTTTAGGCAGACCAAGAGGATCTAGGGCTGCCCTGTATAGTCTGCTAGGGGAGAAAAACAAGGAAGTCATTATCACAGCCCAGACTAGGAAGAGAGAACATAGGGGTGTCTAACCACAGATCAGGAATCACTCATTGGAGAATGTGACAACTGAGATAAGTTTTGAAGGACAAGGAAAAAATAGCCAAATGAGAAAGGGAAGCACCTTCCAGGCAAAGCAGACATCACTGCTGAGCATCCATTCTTAGTCTGCAGACTCAGCTCCCCAACTGTCTGATCCGTTATGGCTGGCACCCACCCACAGCCAGAGGCTGGAATCAGTCCTGATTCCCTGGGTTTGCGGTTCAATCTCCAGTACCTTTCTTTATCAAGGTGCTCTTGCCCCGAGCTCTACTTGGTATGTCCAGTCAGTTAAGTAGGCTGTGGGTTCTTGATCTGTTCTCCCTGGGACCAGATTTCTACTCCCTGCCCACCTTGGCCTTGACCTGGATTTCTGCACTTCTTACCTGATAAATCACCCAGAATCTTGATGTTGCCACCTGCCTGACTCCCAACACGGCCAATGCCCAGACTCTCCTTTTGCAATATCATAAGAAGAAGAGCTTCCCCTTAGCAAGCCCATACTTTGTTCCAGGCATGGTTCATGCTTATTACAAGCATTATATCATTTGATCTTTGGAATAAAACTATAGGATAGTATTGTCACTTTCATGTGATAGTTGAGAATGCTGAGTCCTTAAGAGTTTAAGGAACTACCTGAGATCATGCTTAGTAAGTGGTGGAGCCAAGTTGCACACTCAGGTATCTGACACCAAGACCTGTGCACTTAACCATTGTACTGCCTTACCACTCCCTACAATGAATCTGAAAACCCACTGCATACCAGTGTTGGCCCAAGAGTTGAGGGCCTTGGGGCTATGATTTGGGTGGTAGGCAGCCCTCCCTCTCTGTGAATGGATGAATGGATGAATGCCCTGGTCCTATCCATTCCTGCCTTCCTTTCCTTCCCAATAGTCCAGAGCTCCCAGCATGCCTGACCACCCAGCCTGGATGGGTTCTAAGCACTGGCCACACTCTCAGGAAAGCAGAATGACCAAGGACAAGGAGCTCAGAATCCCAACTCAGTTATCAGAAGTGATGCCACATAGCTTATAGTTTCCATCTTTGGAAGACCTTCCTTGTTTTAAGTCCCAAGTTCAGAAATCCTGGCTTTCAGATCAGGCAAGAAATCCTGAAATATTCAATGCCTTATGGAGATCTTAAGAATTCTCCAAAGGATTCCTTCACCCAGGAAAGCTGCTTATCTCAGTGTCTAGGGACTTGGAGGTAGGCAGGGAGTGGGGAGTGGGGGCCCCACTGGACAGCAGCAAGAAGTGAAAGCAAAGGAGCAGCCTCATACCCAGTCCTGACTCCTGGGGTAAAATGCTTCCCTCTCGGTACTATGTCAGGCCATGTCCAAGGCATGGCAGCCTCAACCCAGGCCCCACAATGGGTCCCAGTGTGGCTGGATGGGGAGACCCACACCAAGAGAAGATGTCATCAAGCTCTTAGGGAGGGTGGGGCTGCTGTGGGCTGCCAAGGCATAATGCACAGGCCCTGTGGGTGGCATAATGTGGTATTTATCTCCCTCACTGTGCAGTGAGGGCACAGGAGGAACAATCCTGACTCTGTGAGCAAGGTCCTCTGGGGAGTTCAGGCCTCACTAATGAAGATGAATAAGAGGGGGGAATCTACCCTTCATGGCTGCTGCCTTTGCCACATACATATTCATGGGCTGACGGGACAGCTCCTAGGAATGACTCATCCCACACAGAGGTAATAGGGTCAGAGGTATGGCAGTGCCAATCCACACTTGGGGTGGGTGTGTCTTGTGGGCAGTGACTTAGGGCACTCCAGGAAATACTCTTAAATATATGGAATTTCCCAGGCGAAATTTGTTCCTTTGCCCGCTGTAGACATAGAGTCTCGGTATGACCTGAAGAATTTAGTTCTAGTTGAGTTCCAGAAGCAAGTCCAATACTGCTCCTTCTAACCAGTATCAGCTAACAGTAATCCTTGCACCATATCATCCTGCCTGGCGTGGCCTTATGGAAGTTGCTGGAGGTCCCATGTGAGAGCTACAGGCACACCTGGAGGCTGAGGACATGCCCTTATTTTCTGAATCTCCTTCCATCTGGTTCTTCCATGATGTTCCCTCAACTAGGATTTTTAGGAAACAAATCCTTGCTCACCACAGGTGTCCAGAATTTAGGAAGGTAACCTTGGTAGGAGAGTATACAG